GCTTATCGGGCTGTTTCAGATTAATTCAGGTTACCAACCCGTCTTTCCCCACAACTAAGTCATAGTGGCAGGATGTTCCAGAAACTCACTTGTCTTAGTTTCTCCATCTGTAAGCTAAAGACTTTGACCTCCTTCATAAACACCTCTGAGATGTACTGGTGAAAAGCACTGTAGAAGAGTAGATATTTTTGTTATAGCTGTGATGCTATATGAATGCTCTTACTATGTGTGCTTATATATTTATAACATTTATTTTGCTCAGAAGAGCTAAAGTAGTAGAGTAATATTGCTAGTTCTAGTCCTCGCCAAGAGATAACTAAAACACATGCTTCAAAACAAGTATGTGGGTATTCTTGCTATCATCCATGAGACTATTCACTTGGCACAGTGAGAGATCTGGATATTTAGGCTTTTCTTTTGGCTCTTCCAAGTCCGAAATTATTTTGTCTTGAAGTTTATTTTTATTTATTAAGAGTTTTGGCACATACTTTTGTGTGCATGTGTAATACAACACATAGCCTTTAACTCTCCAAAGAAAGCCTCAAAGTGCAGAGGTCCAATGACATAATGTTTCTTTAGGAAAGAACTATGGCATATGTGGCATCTGTATCATGCAATATGAGTTTATTATGGCAAGCCTGAATATTTATGGGGTGCAGGAGTGTTAAGTGATATATATATTAAAAAAAAAAAACAAAACCTGGGCATAAAACATTCCAGAGCTCAGTAGAGAATTGTTAACTTAGAAGTCATACCTCAACCTTTCCCCCCCCTCCCCCCCCCCTTCTTTTCTTCTTTTCAACTGTTTCTTATTACAAGCAGCCTTTCAATTGCTTTAGTTGAAAGAAATTATAGAACATTCACTCTCTGGGTTTTTTTGGCATGCTAATTTCTCTGTTTGCAAGCATTTTTCTCCTTGCTGATTTTACCTTTCCCCAATGCTAATCATTTTCTCTCTTATTTGCATGAGGTCTCCATGCAGCAAGAGGAGAAACGGTTTTTGATTCTGTGGTTTGTTTTTTTTTTAATAGGGAAATAGCTTGCAAATTCCATCTCCTTTTCAAGCTCTAAATATTGGCTGGGGAATCTGAGGCAGCAAAACAACCTGATTCTACTTGGAATGTGATTGTCTAAGGCTGCAAAGTGGAGAAGTCTGTATAAAAAAGACTTAAAGCATGGTATCATACTCAGATTTTTAGGCAGGATGGATCAATATGGCCTTTTATTCTGCTCTTCCCTAGAATGCAGGTCATATTTCTTGCATTTACACCTGCTTTTCTGCATATGAAATTCAAACCTTATATGATGTCACACAATATTAACAATTATCAAAACTGGCATATTTTTTTGTTCAAGATAGATATTACACTGTGGCACTGTTGTTTTTAACCTACTGCATAAAGAGTTGCCATTTTAAAGGATAACCACCTACAATTTTTAATGGAAACTGTTTATTTGTTAGCAACTTGTTTGCACTAGTTGTTCATTAAGCATTACGGTGTAATTGTTCTGACTGAACACTGAATAAATAGCCTGGTCTATATTCTCCATGTTTATTGGATATCTTTTTCAGGTTTTGTTTTTGTTTGTTGGTTTGTTTTGCGGGGTTTTTTCCAATCACAGTGATCTCCAGTTTTGTTAACTGTTCATTTCATTTTACAACCAGATAGTTTTCTTGTGGGGATGATCATCAGGGACATGTTCATCTGATTGAAGATGGCTAGCTGTAGCTCATTTGGAAGCCAAAGTGGTTAGTCTTCAGTTCACCAGACATGGCTAGCAGAATTTTTCCTTCTTAGGACCCTCATATGTTTCAAAGGCAAGGAGCTGGGTCAGTGAAGTCAGTGAGAATCTTTCCAATGTGAGCTTTGACCTTAGGGGTCTGATCGGTGACCATGAGTGAAATACAGACTATGAGCAACTTTGAAACAGCTGCCAGTAGAGCACTGACTCAGCTTGAATAGCCTGTGGGTATCTGAAATGGTTGTTAATACTTGGAGGAATTGGTTGTCTATTCTGAATGGCTTTTACCCTATGTCCACATAGAGCTGGGATCTCATCTCTTCTCTTGTACTGAGCCCGGCTCAACAGCACAGAGATTCTGTTGCTTTCTAGGTCAGCCTTTATGGGAGTTTTATATGAATTATGGAATAGTTTTGTGAGGCCGCAAGTGTGATTACAGGTTTAATGATGCTTTAAACAAACAAAAATGTAATGACTTTCATCAGTGTAAAACAGGAGCTTCCTGCAGGGAAACACCAATAAATGTGACTTCGCAGCAGGGGTACAGACCTGGCTGGCAGCCAGCAGTAATCGGCACACCACATAGACCTTGTGTGTTAACTTAATTATAGCACAGTGCAAGCAGCAGCTAGACAGTTTGCTGTGAGGAATCACTGCCAGCGTGGCACAGAGTCCATGCATTTAAAAGTTACCCATCTGATCCATAGCTTTAGGAAGTGAGAGGCTGAGACTTTCAGAGCCAGTTTAGCCTCGTGCTGTGACTCACAGCAATCTCACCTTTGTCAGGGAAGCTTGGGTGGGCATGAGAGCCTTTGCCTGGCACTGGGGGCACTCTAACCTCTTCTGTATAATCTCCGAACTCTGCCTTCTCTGCCACTACTAATCCTCAGAAATTTATCAAAGGAACAGATACTTCTACTCTCTGTAATGCAGTTAATCGTCAGCCACTCTAATTCCTTTTTTTCCCTTTTTTTTTTTTTTTTTTAAATTTCATGGCTTTGGTATACCTTTTGTAAGTTCCTGGGAAGGGCAAGCAATCTTATTTTGGCTTCAAAATCATGTTCAAGTAGGCCTGCATCCTTCCTACACATTTGGCTGGCACATGGAATAGATATTTATGATTTATTTGGATACTGTGACTTTTGGGGTTCTGTTTCTTTTAGTAGTGATTAGGAGCATCATCCTGAGTCAGGTCCCAATGTGCTGTTCCATTGACTTCAGGAAAAAAAAGTTGCTCTTTCAGAGACCTTTTAATTTGGAAAATTTTAAAGCAAGTATGCCCAGAAGATTAGACATGGCATCATGTAGTTGTAATAGGATAGCTAGAATCTTTTTCCAGGAAATACACTGTCAAACAGGAGAATTTTTACCTGTGACTGTGAGTAAGAAGGCTGTGATACTGACGTGCCCCTAGTAGCTACTTGTCAGCAGTCACACAAAGAGATACTGAGCAAGGAGAGAAATAGATGGAGCAGCTATCCTTGTGTCTGCATAGAAAAGTCTGAGTTACAAGGCTGTAGAACAGTCTCATGAGTGCTGGACAGCCCATTACAGCAGAGTCCTGTGCTAGTTCTTCAGTTGCCTTCATGCAATAAGATAAAACAAGCCAGTAGCTTGCTCAGCAGTTGTTCACTGCTTCAGCTATATACACAGCCTTTCAGTAGGACTTGTCTCTCTGATCGGGAAAAAAAATGTCATGACAACAAACACTTTACTTCAAGTCTCTTTGGGACTCAGAATTTCATAGATGGCCATGAGAAAGGGGAGAACAAAGCTAGCATTTTCAAAGCTGGAAGCTTGTCTTTGATTTACGTTTAACAGGTGAATTTGAGGAATTAGTATGATAGTGAATATCCTAGGAGAAAAGGAGCTTCAGAGGAGACCTCATCGCTCTCTACAACTACCTGAAAGGAGGTTGTAGCGAGGTGGGGGTTGGTCTCTTCTCCCAAGTAACTAGCGATAGGATGAGAGGAAATGGCCTCAAGTTGCACCAGGGGAGGTTTAGGTTGGATATTAGGAAAACTTTCTCCACTGAAAGGGTTGTCAAGCATTGGAACAGGCTGCCCAGGGGAGTGGTGGAGTCACCATCCCCGGAGGGATTTAAAAGACGTGTAGATGTGGTGCTTAGGGACGTGGTTTAGTGGTGGACTTGGCAGTGCTAGGTTAACGGTTGGACTTGATGATCTTAAATGTCTTTTCCAACTTAAACGATTCCATGATTCTAAGAGAATAAACCCCATTTCATTTCCCTACTCCCTGAGTTTAGAGATCTCACCACACTGGGCCATTGTTCATGATCTTAGCCTGTGTAACTCTGAGGTTAGTATTACAGTCTCCGTTTTGTGGTTGGAGAGGTAGAGGTTTAGGGCAATTGCATATCTTGCTGAAGATCACATAACAATCTTTTTGCAGAGTGGGGAATGCAACTCGTAATCTCTTGACAGCAGTTCATCAGTCTTGTACTTGCACAGAGACCCTTAGCTTGAGAAGTTCATTCCAATAAAACAGCAGATGAAATGTATGACTGTTAATGCGGGCTCACTGTTCTGTGAGTCAAGTGTGTTCTGGAAGGAAAGGTGGCCAGGAAGTTCTGTCAAGACTGCTTTGGAAAACATATCTTTCCAGAAACACCTGAGTTGCACTGGGGTTTAGGGCATGTCTGTGTTGTGTAGTAGAGCAGAGGCAGTTATGATGTGCGTCGTCTTGCACTGCTACAGCTCTACAAATTCCCAGTTCTAGAGCTAGCTCTGACATCTCTGCATCACAGTCTCATTAAATAGTGTATTTATACTCCAAGTCACTTGTTGCCAGAGGACTTAGGCTCCTAAATCTCAAAAATGTTTTTGGAAACAGTTGGTTTCCCATCGGCAAAAAGGGGACATGGACCATTCCCTTGTCTGTACTTTCTGTTTATGCAGCAAGGAGCAGGTGTATAGTTACAAATCCTGGATCCTCACCTCAGCTGGGGCCTCTACAACAGATAATTGTCTCTTATGCTACTTGCAGTACTAACTAATTCAGCTCCAAAAGGAGGAGCCTTAAATTTTATTTGTTGTTTTCTTTCTCCTTCTGAGTAGTTCCAGTGTGCAACTTGCTTTCAGATGATTGCCTCATCACTATATTTTCTGTAGAGCCATCAAACTCACAGATGCGGGCCATATTCCGTAATTATTCTTGGAAAAGGCAGAGCAACTAATGCCTGCTTCTGCCCCTCACCTGCAGCACCTTGGTGTAATGTGTTCTGATGCTTCTTCTAGGGATTTGTGTCATGTATGGAACAGTACCGAAGAATTGGGCAGGAGCTGTACGCCTCTTTGTACAAGAACCACGTACAGGTAAAGAACAGGAATATTGTGCAACAGCTTTCTGTTGTTGAAAGGATGCTCTTGAACTACCCTGAGAAATCAGGCATTTCACAAGTGAGATGAGTAGTATGCCCAAAGAAATGATGAGAGTTGATGAGGCAATACTCCTTTCCTGACATCACCATTGAAGTGTGATATAGTGTCACTCACCAATCAGATTGCAGATCCTCACTTTATCTTCAGGAGCCTTTTTTCTTTTGTTTAAATGAATTATTCCACTCTCACAGTGGCAGAAATGAAAGTGACGACTTTCACCTTTTTTTCTTAGCAGCCAGTAAAACTTTTCAAGAGGTCTCAAGCTCATAGCCAGTAAAATCTCACAGGTATGTTTCTGTTTCAGGATTGGCCATCAGAGACCAACAAGCTTTTCATTCTTTGAAATTCTCACCTCTTCTGTCCTTTAAATTGATATTTTAGTGCCCCTCAACAGCCTGCACAGACCTCCTAAGTAGAAATAATTAAATTTGTGCCATGCTTGGAGGGAGCACAGTACACTTCTGACTGAGACTTTCAGACTGTGTTTTCATTGAGCATGGTTGTTGCCATTTGACACAAACATTCACCAGAAAAAACTGGACTGAATAAAACCTCTGTGATGCTGTTCTCCTGGCTCACTGCTTTTGAGTTGGAAATCTAATAAAAGCAGCCATTTTCAAGGAGGTTGAAGCTTGCGACATGCTTATATTTGTCACTGTATCTTAGTTTGACTAGTAGCATCTCCCACAGCACACTTTCAGTGGTCAGTTGGACCTGTGTTTGCTGGGTCTGCAGCGCTCCCTCTGCAGTGGCCCCATCCGGTAGGTTGGGTAAATCCCTCTGAGTCACTGGGGTGGTGTCTCTCCTGGATGGGAGGAGGGGAGTGTGCAAAAGGTGGCACAAAGTGGTTCTGTCTCACAGATGCTGCAGTGTGGTTACAGCAAAGCAGCCAAGGACTGGATGATACTTGAGGAGCAACTTTTCTACAGAAGGGGCCCGTGGGGAGATGCATCGCGATCCTTAGAGCCACGATGGATTCTTGATTGTTATGAAGGGCCTTCACGAATGAGGAGGAGGATTCAGCATGCGAACACCCGAGTGACAATGATGAAAATGAAGACTGAGGTAGAAAGCTGTTGCAGGAGGTGCACAATTTCCGTAACAGTTGCTCACCTCTTTCCTCTGGTTCTCATTACCTGACTCATCAATATGCTGTGCCATGCATAGAGAACCCACTGAACATGTCTGATTTTGAGAGAGTAAGAGGGGCTGCAATGTGTTTAGCAGCAACAGTATAAGTTCTGGTATAAGATCTCCCCAGACAGATGAGAGTGTAATCCGACCGTACTTTTCTGCTTGTAATATCTCATGGGTATAGCACTTCCCAATGTATGCAACAGAATCCAGTTAGAAGGCTGCACTGTCCTGTTAGTCTTACGTTTATTAGGGCTGCTAGAACTGGTGGATTATTAAAAGGAGAATTAGAGTGGTTTGAGCAAAGCATTGAACTGTTTATGTAGAGTATTTACTACTGTCTGTCTCTATAGTGTCTAAGTGCCAAATTCTATCAACCAGAAGCTGAAGCACTTTAGTATATCAGGAGGTTCCCATCTCTAGGACATTTTCAGCTTTTTTGTGAACCTTGGATTCTGGCTGTTTTCTGTAGTCTGAGTGGTATGGTTTTTATCCTATAACTGGCCTCATGCAGGGTCTTCTTTGAAAAGACAATAGTCCTTTTGCTTAATTGTTGACATTTGTTCCTACATTTAATTGTTCCTTTGGGTCCTTTCAAATGAGTTTATTTGAATTTCCAAGGCATTTATTTGCGACGTAGTTGTAAATCTGTGTTTTCTGCTGCAACAAGGTTGAGTTATGTTTACCTGTCTGCATATTCCGCTCTAGTCATACCTAGTCTCTTTTCAGGTTCTCCTAGCAAACAGAAATGAAACAACACCCACGGCTGAAGTGAATTCAGGTAACCTTTTAGGGCTAAATTAAATCATCAAGAGGGTGGACACAAAGAGCCAAAGAGAATTGGAGTTAGTGTATTGAGTTCCAGGTCAGAATTTCATCTAGTGAAAAAAAACTTGCTGTCACTGCTTTAGGCTAAAAATTCACTTGAACATCTGGAAAAAGACTGATGCAATTATTATAGGTGGTATATAAACTGTCTTCAGAATTGATTGCTCTCTTGTTGCCACCAGAAAGGTCTGAAAGCAAAAAAGCTAACTTGAAATGAAAGCTTTGGGCGTTTTTGAGCACCTGGAAGGCTCCCAACTAGTTAAACTCAGAAGGAAAAGTGCAGACTTCCCCCCTGCTCTTAGTAGACACTAAGTTCTACCTCTGAAATAGTATTTAAAACCAGGTGATAGATGGCTCAGAGAAGTGGTAATAGGAATTGTAACTTTCCAAGAATGTGGACAAAATAATAGACAGTGGAAGGAAATCACCAAGAAAATTAACATGTCAAATTGTTTTTCAGTGTTCAAGATAGAACCGGATTTTTCAAAATATGATCATTATGTCGACATTTTTCATTTTCCAAGGCCAGGTTTTCTGTTACGTGAGACATTAAAAGAATGAGGGGGGAATGGGAGTGAAATATGGTACAGAAGTCAATAGTTTTTCAGAGAGGGGAAAAAAAAAAAACCATTGAGAAAGAACTATAGTTTGGAAATGTCAGCCAAGCCTAAGGCTGTGGATTTCAGCCACCTGTGTGGCTGTTCCAAGTCAAACTTCTAGTGTAAACTGTGGAAATAGGCAGAATTGTTGTATACTTTTTTGTGTGATAGGGCCTGCAAATCAAGTGAGAGTGGAGCTCATTGTTCTAGACTCCAAACAAGATTGAATACTATGTAGTTTCTGCATGAAAGTGGTTACAGTCTACCTCAATAAGAAGGCTGATCATGCCTCCCCTAACCGCATGCACTGCATGAATTTGCAAAACTTGGGACACAGCTTGCGCAAGGTATGAGTGGATTGTCTCTCCTTGGGTTCTTTTAAGATCCTGCTCAGTGCATGTCCCCAAAAGACTACCGTTTTCAGTTTTTCCTAATTTCATGTAAGTATGTGAACGTTCTTTTTTTAAAAATTACCAGATGATCAGCCCAACACAGTGCAGAAATGAGAATAAATATATTTATTCAATATGCTTGAATCTTCAGTGATTATAGGAATTTAGTTTTAATTATGACTGAGTGCAGCTACCTGTTTTTAGTTCCCTGAACTAAGCACCCTTCTTTAGCAGTCACAGATTTTACTTCTCTCTTGCCTGTTTTTTGCAGATAAATAATGCTATTTCCCAAGGTAGAACAGATTGGGTGAAAGTCTAAATTGCAAATGCTTTTGGTGTCATCTGGCTGCCACTAAAACTGCCATCTCTTTTATACTGATATAGGAGAGCTGACGTCAAATGGAGCAGAAAGGGAGATGGATAAGAAGGGATGGGATTGTAACCAACTAACATTCTTCCCTGCTCTACATGAAAGTTTCCATTCAGAAGACTTCTTGGAACTGTGTGTGGAGAGACAAATTATATTGCAGGAGTTTGCAGAGAGTGAAAAGGTAGGAAAAATGAGCTAGAAAATGTTCTCTGGGGAGGTGGCATTTTAGAGGGTGAATTAGATGTGGAGGCTTATCTGTTCCTTTCAGTTTGGGGTTCAGGCTACAGTAAAACATCATCACCATCTGTTTCCTTAGAGCAACTACAATTTTCCAGCCTCTGTATGAACTTCTATATAAACTTATTCTTGAAGAGCATTTAACATTAACTCTTTGAAGTAACAGAAAAAAATTTGGGCGTGCGACCAAGGTATTCTCATACCCGTGAGACAGTATTGTCTGAATTTGGCTAAGACATGGCAAATTATGAGACTCTGAGAATTTCTGTCCTGCTTCCCCACCTTTACTCATGCTCAGAGCAGTGCCTGGATCAAATTTATTTATTACCTCTGGAAGGGTGTGCCAATTTTGTATACGTTGCTAGTTCTTTGCTGAATACCAGAAAATGTTTTCTTCCTCTCCCCTTCACGTGCCTTTTTGTTCTCTGCCTCTCCATGAGTACTGGACAGATTCCTCCCTCTAAGGCCATAGAGGCTTTCTTTGCTTCCTGTTTGATGCTTCCGTTGTATGTCATCTAGTCAAAACAGTGCTGTTCCTTCTTTGTTCTTGTACTGCACTGGATGCTCTTCTCCCAGGTTTCTTCCCAGCATAAGGAAGAGGCAGGTTCAGGAACACTGGGAGAGGGCATGAGCTGTGGAGTAGAGGTGACTCTGTTAGGAGGACAGTAACTTTGATCTGATGTTCTCAATTTAATCCCTTTTCTTGAAAGCCAGCAACCTGCCCTTTGCTTTCAGCGTAAGCCCCACAATGGTGACTCCAGGTCAAATCCTTGATGTTGTATATGCACTGCACTTAGCCGTTTTCTGCAGGACTGTGAGAGATTTTGTCATGAGGAGTAGACCTGGCCTCATTCTCTGATCTTTTCCAGTATACCTGTTTCTTCCAGTGGCATCATTCCCCCTGTTGGCCCAAGAGTTAGCAACCCATAGTGGAAGCCAAGGGTCAGGCTTGGAGCATTTAAACTCAGCCATCACAGTGCTGTGATACATAGATATAGAAATAATTATTTTATTTTTATGTCTCATACCGCTGAATTTTCTTGATGCTTTGCCAGTGGCTGAGGGTCATATTCGTGCTATCTAACATGATGGCTTCCTCATGCCATTAGAGCTGTTGGTACACTATCTGTCTATACAAGATAATTCATATCCCTGCCCCTCCTCCTTTCCCCCCCCCACATACCTCTCCCCAGCAGAAGGATACAAGCATGAAAATGTGAGGCATGTTTTCCATGTGCTGATCTCATTTTGAGCCTTCAGGCTGTCTGTCTCTTCTCCATGTAACTCTGCAGGAAGCCGTCAGAAACGCCAGGCATGTTTTTTTCCAGCAGCCGTCACCGTGTTGCTGAGCTGACAGAAGTATTAAAAAAAGCAGTAGGGGGTGACATTAACTGTCCTGCGCTCACTTAGTGCGCCGCGGTCCTGCCTTGTAAATGGCTGCCTCGTGAGCTGTTTGCACTTTAAGCAGGCAACTGGAACCATCTTACCTACTGCACTGCACAGAAAAGTCATTGTGATGCTTTGGCAGATACTGAAAAGTGGTCATTGTTTTATAATATCACCCAGTGCTATTTTTTTGCATTACCATTAAACAGACACCTTTCTACATATTCAGATATGTGAGATGGCTTTTTGCAGAAGGAGCAGATCAAATGCTATTGACATTGTCTGTTGGTTCAGAGTCTGTTCCTCAGCAAGTTAAATCAGGAGAATATGGGTGCAGGTGGGGTATTGTTATGCTAATATCATCTAGTCTTTTGTTTTATCTTACTTGAAATCTGTG